TAGGGACAAAAGTCATAACGTCGATAGTCACGTATATATATATATATATATATATATATATATATATATTGATATTTCGGTAATTTCTGTGGACAATGTACCTGTGTGGTAAAATAAAAGTTTACGTTGTCATTAATGGAATTTGAACATACCAGCAAGTGTAAAATTTTGCGGAGTCGTTTATGGTCTGTGGACCGTCTATTGCCTACCACTGATCTTGGTCTAGAAAATTATATTAAAATGTAATTCCGAGATTCCGCGAATAGGAAATATTTCTGTAGACATGTGTACCCATGTTTCTGAACTCTTCACTCTTTGATGAGTGGTATCATAAATGACGTCATGTTGTCTTGTAGAATTTTACCTAAGTTTCGGAGGAAAGTGCTGCCTCAATTTTCAGTGTTGGAGAGCAACCAATTAAGCAGTATATAAGATTTGAAGTTTTCATGGCGATGACTATGAAGAAAGCAGTCTACACGCTGGTTCTTCGCTTGCGGATTTTCTTCTTTTTCTTCTACCCTGAAGAAGGAGGCGATAAGTTCCTCCGAAACATCTGTTAACACAATATCTACACGGCGTCGTATCCCAGAAGACTGTGTTCTTCAATTAAGCAGTAATTTCTGCTCTCAGCTTTCTGTTCGAACCTGAACACTAATGTAACATATTCCACCGAAACGTCGATAAACATTCAGTACTGAAGACAGTACTCTTCTTAGTCATCACCATGACAGCTTAAAGTCTCGTCATGGTGTTGTGTTCTACACAACTACAAAATCGCATTTACAACGAGGTTAGCAACTGCTTATGAGAATCCTGTTGCTTTTCTATAGAGTCGAAGTAATGCATTTATAGGCATGTCATTATGTAAAGCCTTAGTACTGTGTAATCTGAGAGAATAGTCATGTCATAAATTATGTTAACATTGTTCCTTCTGCCATTTTGTAATGTGCTTATTTTAGTTATATTAAATTATTTTTACCTGCAGGTGTATAATAAGCAATGTAACTAATGAAAACTCGTTATATCTATTTGTTTTATTTCTATGGAAAACATGAGGCACACCCTCTGCTTTGTTACCACCTTCCCCTGTCTTGTACCAAGTCCTTTTCTCTGTATTGCTTGTGTCCTTTCATTTCACCAGACGGCCTACTTTTTCTCTTGACCACTGCTATCTGTTCATGCAATTGAATATTTCTGTAAATGCCATGGTCCAAAATTATGATCCCACTAGCATTTTGCTAGTTACACAATGTGAAATTATAAATAACAAAGATTATTTAACCACCGAGGCGTTTACAGTTCGGCTGAATCACATAGAAAACAGACAATGAAATGAGATATTATAACAATCTGGAGTGAGAGTATCGCGCCAAAAATTATGAAAATAAAGTTGTATTTTAGCGTCCTGTTGCACTGATTTTCGTCCATGATATATACACACTTTCACCTGTCACTTCACAACATGTTTCTGCACCATAGTGCCATCATCAGCTGCTCCACTTACACTAATCTATTGCATTGCATGCCATTATGTCATTGTAAAATTATTTAAAAAGTATTTTAAATATTCTTCAGTTATAATACATTTTTTGTATACTAAAATCTTGTTAAGATATTCATCTTATCTGTCCCAATTCAGAACCCTCGCATGGTTCCTCCACTGTGGGAGCCGTTCTCTTATGTGCCGTGTGCATCGTGTCTCGTGATGCGTGTTCCCTTTTTGGCTGCGGGTGTTGTAATATACAAAAAAGTGTATTATAACTGACGAATATTTTAAAATATTTTTAAAATAATTTTACAATGACATAAAGGCAAGCAATGCAATAGATTAGTGTAAATGGAGCACCTGATGATGGCACTATGGTGCAGAAACATGTCGTGAAGTGACAGGTAAAAGTGGATGCACTGCAGGACGGACACTGTATATATATATCATGGACGAAAATATATTGAAATCTGTAGAGAAAAAAATTGAGGAGTAAAATGCAAAAATCTCCGCCAAGACATACATCAATACAGCTGAGATTCGAACTGAGTACCTCTCGAACACACGTCCGTAACATATGCATGAAACTTACCCAGTGAGTTTACAGACTAAATACTCGTAACAACCCCAAAGGGCCAGAGTTCGTCTTCAGAACCAAATAGTCGATAAGACTGTTAAGAAATCTCCACCTTTCATGGAGCTTTTATTTCCATGTTGTGTTACCGTGAGACTCCCGTTTCTTCCTGAGACAGCTTAATCCAGTCCAATCATCAAACACTATTTATATAATGTCCTTTTTAATATCATCCTACCATGTATGATAGGTTTTCAGATATAGACTCTTCCTTTCATATTTTCCGATCATAATGTCATAAGTCATAGAGGCTACATTAGGCGTCTGTGTAGACCTGCTGTACGGCTGAGTAGACTTTCGGACTTGAAGCGCTATTTTCAAACTCTCTAGAACTCCCGCAAGACGCTTATTTATTTAATTCCATAGACTGTCTCTCATTAGGCAACAAGTATGCGTATGCGCCCCAGTATTATGGGTTAAGTAAAATGTAAAACTCAAACGCTCCTTAGAAGTTACATCAAATTACGGATGCTATGAAATTTCACTAACGTCAACAATTAAGAAAACAAGCGTATTTTCAAATACATTATTTATATATTATATGAAACTATGTGCGACATAGGAAAGGATACAAGCCGGAAATAAGGCCTACTTCCCAAATCTTAGTATACTAAAAGTAAGACAATATCAGGAACAGCTAAGCTGCAAGTATACAAAACATTAATAAGACCTGTTGCTACATACGGGGCAGAAATGTGGACCTTAACAGTAACATAAGAGACTGCACTAAGAATGTTCGAGAGAAAAACAATACGCGAAATATACGGACCGGTGATGGAAAATAATATATGGAGGATAAGATACAATGAAGAGATAAATACATTACTGAAAAGGAGATGTAGTAAGATTTATCAAGTCATAGAGAATAAGATAGTTAGGGCATGTCGAAAGAATGGAAGATAATGCAGTGCCAAAGAGAATGTTAAAAGGAAGGCCCAGGATGGGATGGCTAGTTGATATTGAGAGGGACCTGAAGAAGATGAAGGTGCAAGAATGGACAGAGAAGATGAGGAAGAGAGAGCAGTGGAGACCGGTTGTAGAGGAGGCCAAGGCTCACCCAGGGCTATAGAGCCGTTTGGTAGGTAGGTTAGGTAGGTAGGTAGGTAGGTTAGGTAGGCAGGTAGTTAGGTGGGTAGGTTAGGTAGGTATGTGGGTAGGTTAGGTAAGTATGTAGGTAGGTTAGGTAGGTAGGTAGGTTGGGTAGGTTAGCTATGTGCGACATAAGAGAACCCACTATTAAGTATTTAGATGGGGAAGACTTACGCCGCATAGAATCACTCTATAAAATCAGGCGTGTCGTTGCTTAGTGCTGGCCCTACACACGAGTCCAGTTCGCCTTCCGTGAGGAACTGAGACTGGTCTCATCATTTTGAAACGCAAGAAGGTACTACATTCACATATACCTAAATATAATTGAAGAAGTTTAAGTAGAGGCTATTTTCCTGAGACCTGGGTATTAACTTCTGAAGGTTCTGTAAATTATAAGTAATAAATATATTACTCTTGTTCAATGCATAGGCAGTTCTCAGTGAAGCGAGGAGCCCGCGGTAGACATCCTGAATAACCTTAGTCTAGCATATCATTTAATATACTGTGGCATGCCGCCTAAAAGCCAGAATGTCTGAACGGGTGTCCATTGCTAGACAACGGCTCAGTTGCTGTGTTTTCCATACAACAGGAAAATGTGAATACTTTGTTGCCTAGGCGGCAATTGTGAACACGTATAAGCTACAACGCGTACATTACAGATGTTACCACGAGAATGAAGGCCAGTCCTACTACACTTCCCGCTGAAACGAATACCCTTCAAGAAGGTGTCTCCAAGTCTGTCCGACTGTGAGAGATAAGAGACAAAACGTAACTCAGGACAGAGGAGATCAGAGAAGACCAGATCGGAATTAAGACAAGATAAGATGAGATCAGAGAAGACCACATCAGAGGTCAGACGAGAGACGAAGCCCTAGTCAGGTCGCATCATCTGGAAGACGTGATTTCAGAGTGAGTGTAACTGCTTCCCCTAATCCGCAACCCAGCAATTATTTGTCATGGAACCTCGGACACGTGACAATAAAGGTAGGAGTAAACACTTCGCGACCATCACGTCATAAATTTCGGTGCATTTTCCCAGCCAGAAGAATATTCAGATACCTTAGTAACGGCGCAGGAATATAATCAGTTCTTGTATTAGAATTTTTTTTTAATTCGCTTAGTGGGGGGGTGGAGTCCAACTGGGTCCACTCGGCACGTCGGCCACTGATTGGCCTAGTGTACCTGGAATGAAGATTGGCAGGACAAACCAAAGTGCTCGGAGAAAACCCGCCCCAGGGCCACTTTATCCACCATAAATCCCTCTTGACCAGACCCAAGATCGAACCCGGGCCCCCGCGGTGGGAAGCCAGAGACTAACCGCTTGAGCTATGGCGCGGCCCTTTTTTGAGGATTAGCCAGAAAGTGTGTTTACAAGGAATATACGAGGAGGTTTCTTACTAAAATCCCTGATAAGAAAAATGCTGGGAAATTCGTTTGTCATCCCACTACTGTTCGACATTGTCTCTTCAAAAACAGAGATATCGTAGCACATAACGATTTTTTTCTGCTCCCTTTCCGTGTAAGTCTACATGTTCTCGCCCATTGGAGCTCCAGTTGATTTTCCTTGTCCAACTGATTCGTATACAAAATAGGCGGTAAATGGCGGGCGGGTTGACGTATAGTGTTACCAGCAATGATCAACATATCCCTCCAGCACGCGATAAATGTTTATCTTTTGACTGCGAGTTTATACGTCATGTAAACTCACTTTCTGCCCGCCCCTCGTATTAAACGAGTATTTACAAAACATCCAATCCTGCTCCGAAGAAATGTAACTATAGCCAGGTCGGTGTTTGTTGTAACGGAATGCAAAGTAAATACTACAAGATTTAAGAGCGCTATGGAAACTGCCACGTGAATTATGAAGTCAAACACAGCATTCGCTTACGGTAAAGAGCATTGCTCTTTAGCATTGCTTGGTCTATTAAGGAACACAGGAAATTCTGTATCGTCCGAGATCAGCTGTGCTTTTCAAAGAAAGAAGAAATGTCGTATGTATTCGTTTATGTACTTTCATACTCTTATCAGTTTTGTTCTGCAATTAATAATAGACAACTGATGACTTTCTAGAATATCCGATGATAAATAAAAAAATACATTTCATATATTATCTTCGTATTACTTGTTACGTATAAAATATTATTTTAGTAGGTTTGTTCAGAATTAATATTAACATTTTTTAGATTATTTTTCGTAGAACGGGGAACACAGAATTCTGACTTTGAATGTATGCAGCTGATATCAGGAAATAATACACAGGTAAAAATTATACTGCCGGTCACGGTATCCGAGCAGTCTAAGGCATGTATTATCTTCGCTCGCTTGGAAACCGGGATCGTGGGTTCGAATCCCACTCAGGGCAATGATGTTTAGTTTGTGTGTGTGCGTTTTTCTGTGTTTGTGTACAGGTAGAGGTTTTACGACGAGCTGATCACCCGCCCAAGGAGTCCTACCGAATATGTAAGATCTAGAAAAACCAAAGTGAACGGAGAAGTTCATGGAGGTAGGCCTACTCCCACTGGGGCTGTACGAACACAATATACACAATTGCCGATCACAGTGGCTGCACGGTCTAACGTATGAACTGTCTCGCTCGCTCAAACACTGAGGTTCTGGCTTCGAATTCCACTCAAGCATGGATGTTTGTCTGCATTTATTCTGTGTTTGTATTGTCTTGTGTAGGTAGGGGCCTTTCGACGGGCTGATCCACCGCCAGAGGAGTCCTACCGACTGACTATATGATTAAGAAACTGCAAAACAGAGGCCAAAGCACATCACGGACTCTAGCTCTCACAGATTATTATTATTATTATTATTATTATTAATATACACAATTATAATGAAATTCCTGTGCACTAATACTCCTTGTTTATGCTGTAGGCTATCTCCTTTAAGAGGAACTGTGTTTCTAACGCTGATGTTGTACTGCTGGTTGTCTACCGACACTCGTTGGAACGTACGAGCTTTGGTGTACCCTAAAGGTGCTACGTACAAGGTAAGTAATTACAGCTTCACTTGGTATACACATCATTGGATATCGCTCACGACTAGCTAGTGAAACCTCATAAACTGCCGAGAATTTTGTTCTGCCAGTTACTGCATCTTTTATATAAATAAAGCTACCAACATGGGGAGAAGATGTAGTTATATAATGACGGTCTATGTTTAAATGCAGCGGCCGTTTTCCTGTTCTTATTATCAGATGCGTTTTCTGTTTCGTTGGTAAATTTTAAAAACAAATGCCGTTAATATAGCGTCACGATTTTAAGTGACTAGACACGGGGTTATGATAGGTAATTGGATTTATTTGACCCTTACAAACCTAACTACAAATATTATAATACTATGGCGAAATCAAGCACTTTACAATTCACTATCACAGGCATTAAATCTTCTCTGACACCTGTGTCTTTACTGACCGTTGTCTGCAACGGCTTCCAACACTGTGGGGTTCTCAGTTTCCGCCTTTATTTCCTTACAGCCTGCCGCCTATCTCATAACTACTCATGGAAGCTGCTCCTGGCCATTGATTGGCTACCATTCGCTATCTGCTATTAGTGACTTCCTACTCAGAATTCGTCTGTCTCAAAATTAATCAAAGACAAATTCAAAATTGCTTCACGACTTTTGGTTTACAGACAATCAGTTTGTCCTGGCGTCAGGCACCTTGAGGAACACAACCAGAGATATTTTATCAACTAAACTCTTGCTGTAATATTTTTTATGTAACATCCTCTCCGACGATAATATGTGTTGTCTGTTTTGAATATGTTTGTTATTTCGTCAAGTGTACGTATCAGTCTTATAGCACGTTAATGAAATGTCTTCCTTTTGCACTATATGCAACTATATACAATCTATCATGTGGTTTGAGATGAGTCTCTGAAAGGGAGCTACATCTATATGTAGGTCTTGCAGCTGTTTACTGAGCTCATAACGCTGCATCCAAATGCCTTTTACAGTAAATGATATGACTTTGAGCGGTCTATAAATTCTAGCAATCATTTTGTTGCGTTAAAAGCTATTAGGTTTTGTCACCGGTACATGGGCTCGGCAAGAAAAACCGCCTCCAACAGTCCCTCTATTGTTACACCTGTAGCTAGTGTGACGTTCATATGCTGTGACTGTCGTGGACACGTATTTGCAGAGCCGTTGCCTAGCAACGGTCATTTAATCTGGGTCTGCTATATTCGGGCTATCAGCGAATATATCACAACATCTATATTAACGCATTCAGCACTTTACGTAGTAACTGAAAAAGAAAGACCTGATTTGAATTTATGTTGTGCCAGTAACCGGAACAATAAATTTGTTATACGTATATATACATAATGTTCCATTTATATTGATCGTTGTAAATAACACTTATATTTAGCATTGAGTTTTAAAAATTGATAGTGACGTTGATATCTCTTAAGGAAAAACGTTATGAGCAAGTTGTAAACGGAATTATGTCCTCGGAACCGTACAGAAATTATCCGAAACTTTTTTCGATGCTGCATAGAAGAGTTACTCAACTGATCAAGAAAAATGTGATATATTGAGCATACAGAAGTAAACCAGTTGCACAACCGAATGTCCGTTGCTGTGTTACGTATCTCTAACTGTTGCGGAACTTGCGCAATTATCTTGACTAAAAGGAAGTACAGGACACTCAGCCAAATCAGTTGCAATTACATCAGTGCAGACCAACAGCACAACACAGTGAGGGGGCCAGTAACTTTCATATAACCGATTCAAAATTATTATACGTGTATGATTATTATAAGTACATTCGCCAGTGTTTAATGCAACGTATTCAACAAATCAGCTAAGTTAACGTCTATGATCTCATTGCTATTAAAAATTTATTGCGAATATGAGGATATCTACATCAAATTCGAGATAGAATAGTCAGTATAGCGACTGGCTATGGGCTGGGTGACCGAGGGTTGGGAATTCGAGTCCCGGTGGGCGTAAGAATTTCTCATTTTCCACTACATCCAAACCGGCTCTGGGGTCCACCCAACCTCCTATCCAATGGGTACAGGGAGCTCTTTCTCCGGAGATAAAGCGGCCAGTGTGTGAGGCTGAGCAATGTCCTCCAGCAACTGCCGAGGTCAAGTAAATGTGGATCTGTACATCTACTAACCCACACGCCTTCATGGCGTAGTGCTTAATTAGTTAAGCACTGGGACAACTTTACCTTACTTTTATAAGGATATCTCTATTGCACGCTACTGGCTAGAATTCTTGGCACATATTCACAAAAGATAAATTGTAATATAAGGCAAATACGTAACCGTCCCAATTTCAAAACTAAAAACCTCACTCAACAAAACGAAATAAAAAACAAAACAAACTCCGTGATTTTAGTCCGCAAACGAACTATACCGACCGAGCGACCGCCTCTTGCCGGCGAAGTTTAGTGTCAACTTTTGCGGATAGAGAGTGTCGGGTGGTCAGCCCAACGAATCCCCACGATCGATAATTTCGGTTTTCTAGACCGGAGCCGCTGTTTCCTTGAAATAGCTCCTCAATTATCCTCACGAGGATGAGTGTACCCCGTTCCAGACCCACTACTTCTCAGAAAATCTGGTAGTGCCAGGAATCGAACCCGGACCTCTGGATTTGTAGCTATGAACTCTGACCACTAGACCACAGAACCGGTTCAAGTGAAATCAATACGTGGGGAGATTTAGAACAGTTAGGCATAATTAACATTTATTTCTTGTGTACAGCAACTTCCACGGAAGTGGAGCTTGACGTCTCGAAGGTAAAGCCCGATACCCGAAAATACATTATTGCAAGGACAAACCATGTGTAATTTACATATCGGAGTATGTGAAGTGAAAAACAGAACTAGCATTAGAATTCCTCTAAACAAAACACTCTTACACTTAAGTCTTAATGCTCAGATTCGAAAATAATGCACGTCTATGCTTCGGTTGTCACGTGATGTGTACCTTCCTTCTCCGTGGGGCTATTCAACTCATGAGATCCTAGTTCCATTAGTTTACCAGGTCGGTAAGCGCTTTGCCACGCAATGCAAGAAGCCCTTTAAGGTTTATTTACCGCTCTCAGTGCCTCAAACCATATAGAATCATATGGTATGGCCATAAATGTATGATTAATTTTAAAGGACGTGGAAAGAAAAAGTTCTGGCCTCCTTATTTGTATTTTTTTATAGAATTTGTGCGGAAGGACTGAACAGAATCTTGAAATACCTCAGTCATAATGGGTGTTATCCAGGACGAGATTCAAACCAGGGACCTATCTGCACAAGGTAGAAGCTTCGCCGTTTCAGTCAACTTACTCGGTTTCAAGGAACGCCTTCTCGGGTTACCATGGTCGGAGATCTGAGTAATTCAGTTATATGAAGCAACCGACGGGAATTAGTGGAGCTGCACCGATATGATATTTGCATATAGCTTAGAAGTGATATAGGGCTTAGGATTAAGTCTCCTTGCTCTAGTTCTAAGACCGCCTCTGTGGTCTAGCGGTCAGGAGTTCCTGCCTAGAGATCCAGAGGTACCGGGTTCGAATCCCGGCTCTACCAAATTTTATGAAAATTAGTGGTTCTAGAACGGTGTCCACTCAGAGTCGTGAGGATAATTGAAGAGCTATTTCAAGGAAATAGCGGCTCCGGTCTACAAAACGGCAGTGGGGATTCGTTGCGCTGACCACGCGACACTCTCTATCCGCTGTAGTTGGCACTAACTTAGCCGAGAAGCGGCGATTGCTAGGTCGGTATAGTTCGTTTGCGGACTACAGGCCACCGAGTTTGTGTTTTTTGATCTAGTTTTAAAATGTGCATATTTTCTCCACAATTCTTCTCAAATAAAAATATAAGAGTTTTTTTGTTGAGATTTCATATATATGCTTTCGGCCTGTAACTATATATTTATTTTCCGTCTCCCAGTTTAATATAGGTATGGGATTCCCTGTGGATTTGCCGCAGAAAATCCTGTCGTTTTCAATGAACTTCCAGTTCCAGTACACGCAGCCTACGAACTTCACTCCTCTGAAAGAGTTCCCTGAAGTCAGACGGTCCTTTCGTGAGACAGTGGACAGGAGTTCGTCTTACCTAGCCCTGCAGAATGTCATGGATAGGTGAGTGCTCCATTGTGAACATACTGTTTGGCATGCAAGGAATGGGAAATGAAGAGATGCTTCTTTGATACAATCATTAATAGAGAATTGATTTCTTAACGACAAAGCAACAAGTAATGCATTTCGAAGTGGAAGCTGCTGTTGGAATCCGTGCAACAGGAATGGAAAATTTCTGGAACATTCTCTACTGCTTGAAGATTTACTCAGGGCTCCAGGAAAACAGTTAACAATAAGCATCATAAGGTTTAGCGATCAGGTGAAGTGGACTTTTCTAAAGGAAGACATTAACGTATATATGTTAATATCAGTGTTCATTTCTTTAAAAATATTTATCATTTGACACTTGTACTGAAAAGGCAGTTCGTTTTCTGAGAGTTAGGGCTAAATTTTAGTATTATATTTAGTTGTACTAAAAGTAAAGATATCCTTGTAACAGGCCGGGGAGGCCCATAGGGTTGTGAGGCGTTGAGGTTCCCTCATTTTCTAGAGGATCGGCTCATAGATGGCGGTAAGGTTGTCAGTCTTACGCGCCGGCCGTCCTTTACCCCCAAGAATATTCCAAGAATGATCCTGGTACTCATTTCAGTTAGGGGTTAAGTCGAACCCAGGCCATAGTGCGGTTGGAAGGATTAGGTAAATTGAAAAAATCCACCTCATCGGGATTCGATCCCGCAACCTTGCGGCTTATAGCGTAGTGCTTCAACCAACTACGCTACCGCGTGTCCCTATTTAGATGTACTTCATGTCTCATACTGAGGAATTGGAAAGGATTTATAATGGTTGTGGCCAATTTTAAACAAATATTAAGGTATTCTTGTGGAAGAACTGAGAGGAAGCACGAGGAATAAAAAGCAAAACAGAATGGGAAACATAAACCTACAAGGAATAAAAAATTTGATAGATCATGAGAGAGAAATTAGGATGTATTATCGGAAAATAGAAGACAGAAGAGCCGGTGAGATAAAGCAGACACATAGAAACATGAGAAGAGGAGAGACATCTAAATATAGAGAGGGCACTGTGTAGGGAAGAAGAAGACAGAAGAGCCGGTGAGATAAAGCAGACACACAGAAACATGAGAAGAGGAGAAATATCTCAATATAGAAAGGGCACTCTGTAGGAAGGTGAAGACAGAAGAGCCAGTGAGATAAAGCAGACACATAGAAACATGAGAAGAGGAGAGACATCTCAATATAGAGAGGGCACTCTATAGGGAAGAAGAAGACAGAAGAGCCGGTGAGATAAAGCAGACACACAGATACATGAGAAGAGGAGAGACATCTCAATATAGAGAGGGCACTCTATAGGGAAGAAGAAGACAGAAGAGCCGGTGAGATAAAGCAGACACACAGATACATGAGAAGAGGAGAGACATCTCAATATAGAGAGGGCACTCTATAGGGAAGAAGAAGACAGAAGAGCCGGTGAGATAAAGCAGACACACAGATACATGAGAAGAGGAGAGACATCTCAATATAGAGAGGGCACTCTATAGGGAAGAAGAAGACAGAAGAGCCGGTGAGATAAAGCAGACACACAGATACATGAGAAGAGGAGAGACATCTCAATATAGAGAGGGCACTCTATAGGGAAGAAGAAGACAGAAGAGCCGGTGAGATAAAGCAGACACACAGATACATGAGAAGAGGAGAGACATCTCAATATAGAGAGGGCACTCTATAGGGAAGAAGAAGACAGAAGAGCCGGTGAGATAAAGCAGACACACAGATACATGAGAAGAGGAGAGACATCTCAATATAGAGAGGGCACTCTATAGGGAAGAAGAAGACAGAAGAGCCGGTGAGATAAAGCAGACACACAGATACATGAGAAGAGGAGAGACATCTCAATATAGAGAGGGCACTCTATAGGGAAGAAGAAGACAGAAGAGCCGGTGAGATAAAGCAGACACACAGAAACATGAGAAGAGGAGAGACATCTCAATATAGAGAGGGCACTCTGTAGGGAAGGTAAAGACAGAGGAGCCGGTGAGATAAAGCAGACACACAGAAACATGAGAAGAAGAGAGACATCTCAATATAGAGAGGGCACTGTGTAGGGAAGGTGAAGACAGAAGAGCCAGGGAGATAAAGCAGACACACAGAAACATGAGAAGAGGAGAGACATCTCAGTATAGAGAGGGCACTCTCTAGGGAAGGAGAAACCTGAAACAAAGAGCAAGAGAGACTAGACTGTGAGAGAGAGACATGCAAAATCGAGATTTATATCGACTGTCGGAGAGAGCTGTTATGAAGAGATGCAAAGGAAGAGGATAAAGGAAAGTATAGCTCAAAATTAAAGTGAAATATAACGTAGAAAAGCTTAACGGAAATAAAAGTTGAAGTGGATGGATAGCTACAGAAAAAGTATATGTAAATATGTGCGCCTGCGCGGACGCAAGAGCGAGCTCTGATATGGATTTGAGTTACAAACGTTACATACAGCCTCCGTACCACTATTAGACCGTCTTTGCCATATTCGTTAAATTACCAAAGCAGTACAGAACTGATACAGAAATTGTAAACTCTTCTGCTGTCTTGTATTGATGCGAAACTTGGTCTCCGATAAGGGAACAATATAGACAGAGGCTGTTCGAGAGAATTGCGCTTAGGAGAACATTTGGACCGAAGGAATATTAAAAAAGAGGTGGTTACAAAAATTGCATAAAGAGGAGCTTCATAAGTTATACTCTTACAATGATCAAAAGAAGGTGGAGGAGATGGGTATAGCATATAACACGCATGGTAGCGAAGAGGAATGCATACAGGATTTAGGTCGGGAAACTAGAAGGAAAGAGACCAGTAGGAAAACATAGACGTAGGTGCGAGGATGTATTAAGATGGATATTAGGCAGCGCGATAGATCAAGCGGTTAGTCGCTGGCTTCCCAACGCGGCGGCCCTTGTTCGATCCCGGATCTGGTCAAGTGGGATTTGTGGTGGACAAAATGGCTCTGGGGAAGGTTTTCTCCGTGTACTTCGGTTTCCTCTGCCAATCTTCCTTCCACCAATTGCTTCACAATCACCCTCACCTATCATCTGGGGCTGATAAAATAGGCCAGAAGTGGGCGCAGTACAAGGGACTTGGTCCCACCCCATTAGCATTAAAAAAAGATGGATCTTAAGGATATAGGATGTGGTGGTATGGTATAATTTGACTCAGTGCATAGCTTAGCAGCAATCTCTTCAAAACACGGTAATAATACACGTACACTTTCCGGTTCCATAACATGATTTTTGGCTCTCATGGAGGACTAGGCTCCATGGAGTTAAATAGTAAACTTCCCTGCTCCCCATTCTATGGCCATCAAGGTTGTGACATCTTGTCATGTTTCAGGCGGTCACGTGTTTCAGAGGGGCACGGAGTTGGAAACCTTTGCCCTTTGATTTGCCTAATTACCTCTCTGTTTCTTGCCTGTTTACGCTGAGCCCACCTCACTCTTTTCAATTCCATGCTGAAGTTGAAACAGTGGTATCCATCTACACCAGCAGGCGGTGCCACTAAAATGTAAGAACTCACGGCAGTGAAAGCTGCGAAAATGACATTATTCTGCAACCGTTTCTGCCAGTAGTGAGAAGTTTGTGCAGAACCACAATTTCTGCACAGACAAGTATATTCCAACCACTGTGGGAACAAGGGTACGTCATAATCAGTTAGTGACGTAGACTATTACGTCATCATTATAAAGTCACTGGATTCTGTATTCAGAATATTTCCTTTATACATACGCCGGCAGGATATATAAACTAAATACGTAAGGTTGCCTGCACAAGGCATGACGCACCCAGCTTCGTAAAGTACCGTGGACCCTCGAACTTCGAACGGTTTGATGTTCGAACAACTTGAATCTAGAACAAAAAAAAAAATATTCGAGGAAAATCCAGTTTTGAAGGTTGAACAGAAACTCGAGAGTCGAGCGAAGTATCACGTCGTCGTCACTTGGTCGTCACGCCTTGTAGAGAAGTGGCGCCCCAATATCGCAGATGTGAAGAGGAGTATCAACCTGTGTAATGACAATGTAATGCAACATTTCAGAAAAATGTTAAAAAGTAGACGAAAACAAATGACATTACACAGGTTTCTCGCAAAAGGAAAATCAGGCGGTAGTAATGTCATTGAACAACAACTCTCAGCTAGCGAATTCCAGAAGAAAGAAGGCTAATTCACCTTCCAACGAACAGTAATATCCCTCCTATTATTATTATTATTATTATTGCTTGATTATTATACAATATTTTTAGGTATATACTATTATAAATAAAAACATTTAATTATTATAATTAAATATACTTGTTTTATCATTATTTACCAATATAATCTTTTGAAATTAGCACTTAAAATATTTTATACCGAGTAAATTTTGGTGTTTCTGTGAAAGGATTAATTCAATTTACATTATTTAAAGTGGGGAAATTTAAATGGGAAGTCGAATAACTGGAAAATCGAATCGTCTCCTGGAACGGATTCCGTTCGAAGTTCGAGGTTCAATTGCAGATGAATTATAATAGTTACAGTATTGGTGGTGGTATGGTATGGTTACAGACATGGGTTGGACGGCAGAAACTGTCTTCTGAGAAGTATCTGCGAGGTTGCAGAGGCCCCGGTCTACTACAACGGGTTAATAGGAGAATTACTCCACGTGATTCTTTCGTAAGTGTCGGGACATATTGTAATTTTAGGCTTAGAGGTAACAGAGAAAATTACATGTAGGAGATAATTAATTACTGATTGCTAATACGGGTATTTTTTTTTTCTTGGTCGTACAGCCCCAGTGGGCCTAGGCCTACCTCCATAAACTTCTCCCTTCACTTCGGTTTTTCTAGCTCTTACACGTTCGGTAGGATTCCTTGGGCGGGTGATCAGCTCGTCGCAAGGCTTCTACCTGTACACAAACACAGAAAAACGCACACACACAAACTAAACATCCATGTCCTGAGTGGGATTCGAATCCATGATCCCGGTTTCCAAGCAAGCGAAGGCAGTACATGCCTTAGACCGGCCAATACACGTAATTATATTAACGAATTAAATCTAAATATTAGACTGAAAATTATCTTCGTAAAGGAGCAGTGGAAGGTATTGGGGCGGGGACTAATTAATATTCGAGTGGAGGTGTAGCTCCATGATTCTTTTCCTCCGCAGTACATGCAGGTGAGTAGTCAGCCTAATGCCCGGGCCGCTTTACCCCTGGGGGAACAACTCCCGGTAGCATTGTACAGGAGACTGGCGTGGCCCCGAGCCGTCTGAACACTGAAGAAAAGATAAAAAAATCTTTCTCTATCTACAATCGAACCCTACTTCTTCTGTAGTCCACCACGTATCCTAGTCACTATATGACTGAGCTATCCCGGCTCCTCATCCATGCATTCATTTCCTTACAGTAAATGAAATCCTGTACGTACGTGTGTATATTCATGAGCAGGTAATTTCACTTCAGAAACTAAACGAACTCAAATGTTCCAGCCTAACTTAGAGTGGGGTAAAAATTATACACATTGAGATATGGGGTTTTCGGACTTTATCCATCGTCCTGGTTTTTAAGATAACTAAGAAAAAATACGACGTTTCGGAAACTGGATCTATTTCCGTCATCCTCCTCTTTCTAAGGGACCAAACAGAATAGGTGTTTTCCCTCACCTGAGGACGGAAACAGATCCAGTTTCCGAAACGTCGTGTTTTTCTTAGTTATATTAAAAACTGGGACGAGGGATAAAGCCCGAAAACCCAATATCTCTGTGTTATACACCATCGTCAGGACCCTACAGTAACTAATTACACACATTGTTCCGCCGCCATTTTATTTGAATATCCTGTCATTCCATAATAGTTACGTAACTACTGCCATCTTTTGAGAGAACATCGCACTACACATTTTATATTATTTTTCTGTTCAACTTTGAATATGTCCATAGATAACCTCTATTTAATTGTGTGTGTGTGTGTGTATGTGTGTGTGTGTGTGTGTGTGTGTGTATATATATATATATATATATATATATATATATAGGTCTCTTCACGTTTTTATGCACCCTCTGTAGTGACAGTTTAATTTATT